CAGCTCTTCCAGAAAACCTTTCCAGAATGACCACTCCTGTCCTAGTCTGGCCTCATCCTTCTCCTGGACAGAATTCCCTTACTCCTCCCGCTAAAAACAAGAACACACTTGCCTTGTCTCCTTCCACAATAAATGCCTGTCCTCGGACAGCATATATCAATGTCTTCCTGGCCGTTTGCAAAAGGAGTCACCATATGCTTTATCTCTGGCCTTAGATTATCATCTCCTAGAGGGCAGGGCTAGGGTTGTGTCCAGCAAAGCCTGGGTCACCTGGATGATGGGGAATAGGGTATTTGAGTGAATTTAATTAGAAAGATAAAAGAGGGCTAGGTAGAAACTTTGTTTCAACTAGTGTTATTATAAAGCCTATTATAAAGCTTTTAAAAGTACACTTGACATCTGACCACTTTCCAGCCTGGGTGGAGTTAATATAATTTAATCGTTGATTCAGGATCTTGCAGTGTTCCTATGACAGATGCAGAAGACGTAGAGACTGGCCTGGAAGCTCCTTTCTAGAAGAAATCCTTGCTACCACATCTTGTGATTTTTGCCTTTATGAAAGTAGAGTTCAAAAATAAGAAACAAAATCCCACTTAATCGAGGAATCCAGTTAAGGGAGGTACACTGCCATGGTTTTTAAGTGACTACCACTGTAGCCCACTTACTAAAGGATTCTTGATGAGGGAATTTGGCAACATGTTTTTCTACAAATACAAGCTTGATTTTGATGCAATCATTTATCCCTCTGAAAATCAGGGGGAATTCACACACAGGCGTCCTAAATTTCCATAAAGTAAAAAACCAACTCTTTATGAGGAATAGCTGTGCTCACTTTGAAACAGCAAAGAAACAGGTGTCCAATCGTGGTGAATGAGGAGCTCCCAAAAGAACCTAAAAATATGAATCAAGGAGCCATAACTCAGGATGCACAAGGCCAGTGACCGTGGAGGCCAGCACCTGGAGCCACTTCATCCAGTTCCCAGGCCTGGGCTCTAGCGTCCCAGTCTAAGCCCAAATTCCCAACTCTACACATCCAAGCCAATTCTCCATGTCCACATTGTCCCACATGAACTGATACCTAAAACCACTGACAGTCATTTCTCTGATCTCTAAAGGGCGACCCTACCACCATTATGACTTCTGACTGAATTATCAGGACTCTGCTGGGAAGCGAATGCCCTCCCCATCCAAACCCTGCCATTCTGAAATCCCAGCCCAAGTCTTCTCCCAGCCCAGTGTCTTCCCCAGTAACCACCACTGACATTGAACTCTGAACTTCACAGGGGTCTGCAGATAGATTCAGGACATATGTGAACTTAAACGGTAAAACAAACAAAAAACCCCGACATTTTTATCTCTGCTAACTTCTCAGTGAACATTAACAGTTCCTTTGATTAGAATGTCGGCAACTATCATGGTGAAGTCTCCAGGAGCTGTGACTGTGTCACAACAGATAGCATACATACTTTCATATCACATCACAGTTGATGCAGATACCTCAAAACAGCATTTTCACTCTTCATTATGCAAAAATTATAATAACTGTTAGACCTTGTTATTTAATGTGTTATTGAATGCTATATCATAACCTGTTTTTTAATATTTTGATAATTTACATTTCAGAATAACTGATTTCCTTTGTTATCCTATGTATGTGGATTTATGCATTTTATTTACTTTGTTAATACTCAACTGAGGGTATTTTTCCACTAATTTTTTGTTTTTAGATCGAGTGGAAGGGAGGAAGGGAGAGAAATACATGGATTGACTGCCTCCTGCACAACCCCAGCCGGGGCCAGGGATCAAACCTGCAACCCAGGAAGGTGCCCTTGACCGGGAATTGAACCCATTTCTCTTTGGTCCTTGGGCCAAAGCTCTAACCACTGAACAACCTGGCCAGGCCTCCTCCTTTTTTTGTTGCTAACACATCTAAAGCTATTTCTTCTTGTTTGCAGCATCAGCACTGATCTGGGAGGCATAACTCTTCATGGCAATGCAAAATCGAAATTTGCTTTATGCGCCTAAAGCTCGTATTCATCTTTTCTGATGGTTCCCTTCCTGTTCCTCAAACATAAATCCTAGTCTTTTTCTCCCCACATAGTTGTCATCGTCCCATGTCACTGTCACTCACTCAGGCTGCTCCCAGGCACAGTCACAACCAACTCTCTTTCTCTCCTCTCATTCCCTCTTTTTCATACTCATACTGCATTCACAACAGCCCCTGCATGATCTCTCTCTCTCTCTCATCCTCTACCCTTCATCATTCAACCAGGTCCAGGCTTTAGCAATGGAACAAGGGTGGCTGTGGCAGCCAATGGCTCCCCAGTCGGGTGGGGTACCCAGAGCTACAACAGGAATAGAAGACAGTGTTCAAGAGGGTGGGAATCAGTACCCAGACTGGGAGAAGAGAAGGAACTGGATCCCAGATATGGCAAAGGACAGAGTAGGAAGCACAGGCCTAATGATGTCAAATGAGTCACAAGCATCTCGGAGATTTACCCCGTATTCCCTTCCCTTTACATACGGTCACAGGGTTTTCTAACTCAAATTGCCATTTCTGGAGGCTGGCTGCACCTGGACCAGTCTCACTTTGCAGAGCACTTAGTCTTATCCTTCTTTTCACACACAAAAATTTTACTCCAGGGGTGTGACTCACTCAGGTATAAACCTTGGAATTCTTTGCTATTTTAAATCGGCATTACACATTAATTTACATTACACTGCAAGAATGCTGCCCCATGAATCACACCACACCTGACTTGCAAGCAGGAAATAAGACCCCAGCACAGTTTTGTCCCCTCCCCAAATATCTTCTGCTCTCCAAGGTTAACAAAGTAGTAGCTAGGTCCCCTCCCCACCATTCTGAGAGTCACTGAGGGATGAAAAAAGAAGAGATTTCACCAGTGGGGCTCAAAAACCCAGGCAGAAATTAATATGTTCGTCCACAGTTCCAAACCTCCCCACTCTCACCACATCTGGTCTTCTGCCACTGTTCCCCTTCAATGCCACCTTGATGCTCATTGTCTTCCATGGCACCTGTTTATACACAAGGCCAGGAATGAAGGGAAGATAACAGTGCCAGGTGCCAGGGCCCAAGCTTCCATCCCATAGAGTGGCCCAGCAGAGGGACAAGCCCCAGCCTTACATTTCTTGAGCGCCAGAAGAAACAAAGGGCACAAATGTCATAGTTCCTTGTTTTCCTGTCAGTGGTTCCCTCTACCCTGGGCCCCAACCAACCACTCAGCCCTCTTTCCCGCCTTAGCCACACAACCGGCCCCACACCCAAATCTCCTGGAGGGCTTTCCTTGTTTGTCCTCTTGAATCCACATAAATCACTAATTACTGATTTAAACCCAGACACTAAGTGAATGACAAATACAATATAACAAATACCAGTACAATATTTAGGACTGGCAAACAGAGAGCTTCCTGTCTTCTTGAGTCTGCCTGAGCGCACAGGAGACACGGAGGCACTGTAGCCTAACACACACCTGGGCAGAAGACTGACTAAACTTGCTGCCAGACCAGGTGTCTGTGCGTGTGTTGGGGCGAGGAGGGCTGGCTCTAATGAACTTACATGCTGGTTCCTTAACTCGCTACACACTGGAATTACCTAGGAGAGCTGAAAACCCAATGCCTGGGTCACCCTCCCAGACAATCTGGTTTAATTGGTCTGGGGTTGCCACCTGGACTTTTAAAAGCTCCCCTCAGTGATTTCAACATGTACCTAAGTTTGAGAACCACTGACTGGACACATTTATTATGTGTTCAGACACTTTTCAAAGCAGTCAAGATGTTTAGGACACCTTATAGCCTCGGAGGCCTTGTCCCATATTTCACTGAGATTCAGACGTCAATCCCGGTGAGGCTGAGATTGAAACTCAGGTTTTCTAACTCAGGTCCATTCTCTTTCCAGCCATCTGTGAACTCTTGCAAAGGTGTAGACAGTGCACAAAAGCAATCTCCGCTGTCAGTAGGTCACGAATGAATTCCATAAATGCAAGACACCTAGATTTGGAGAAGCAGACCACAGGCAGCAGTGATGACCAGTTCTGAATGCAGGAGACCCAGCCATACAGAGAGAGCAGGAGGTGTGCTCATGTGTGAGGTGTGAGGCAGTGGGGAGGGAGGAAGAGAGGGAGAGAGACAGATCGATTGATCCTGGCCAGGGAGCTCATCCTAGACCCAATAATTGTCCTAAGACACCACACATAAGACGGAGCTCAATGGTATTGAAAGTAGTTTTGAATTTGAGAAAGGACAAGTGTTAGACAAAGGAGGAGCTCTTCACTGGGAAGAGAATCCTTAAGAGAGGTGTCAAAGGTTTGCCTCTCAGGGCTAGTTTCTTCATCCAGCTCTACACATTCTGACCTTCCGAGAGGACACAAAAACCAATCCTAATACATCCCCAATCAAATAGCTTCAATCCCTCCAGTCTCTCTTCCTGACAGAGCAATGATCAGAGCCAGAAGGTACATATAACGAGTACCTTCAAACATTTTTGTGTATCCAAACCACTTAGGTAGGGCAAAGCATCCCTTCAACCCCTTTTCCAATCACGCCTACCTCCCCATCATCATCACCAAGCCAACCTCCCCAACAGAAGGAAATAATGCTCCACATCGCATTAGCAATTTATAAGGACCATCAGAAGTGAAGCCCCTCAACCACCATGTTTGTAATATTGCAAAGAACCAGCCCACCACCTACATTAAGTCCCTAAACCAATGATGGGGAGATGGGGGACCTCACCACTACAAGACCTGGGACAGAGACTTTAAGGACAGCAAATGTTCCTTCTTAAGGACAATAAACAATATTCCACCATTCTTCCTGGGTCAGAAATGGGCCTCTTGGTACTTCATTCCAACCCATGTCACACCGGCTGCCTCCTGGTGTCTCAAAAGCCAAGTGTTGATGGGAAAGAACCACAAGGAATTACAGGAACCAACAGCAGGTTAAACTTTCCTATTGATCGCACTGATAGCAGCACCACTTACCCAGGATGGCCAGACAGCTCAGCACCGGGAAAAAGCACTTCATGTCGGCAGAGGAGAGAAGACACAACACAAGGCGGGCGCTTCCTTCTCTCCCAAGGTCTTAATCTCTCATTTCTGGCAATCCACTTAGAGCTCCAGGGGGCAGTTTTGGAAACAGAATTTAACCCAGAAAATAAGAAAAGGTTAAAGAGAAGAGATCAGCAGGAGGCAGTCGGGGAGGGGAGGGCAGCGGGTGTCGCGTGTCAAACTCCCCTATGCAAAGGAAGGGTCCAGAACAATCCTGCAGGCGCGCTAGGCTTCTGCCACATCGTGTGCCTTGCGGTTTCCACTGGAATTGTTGATTGCGGTGGATTAATCCTCAAGGAAAGAGGGGAAAGAGTCTGAGAAAATCCTTTCATCCACTGATTATACAGAAATGTCCTTGGCTTCCCAGTGAAGGTGTCTGCACTCTCCTTCATTCGGATTCCCCAAAGGGAATAGGGCAGGTTTTGTTAAAACCTTTGACAGCCCAATCGCCCTGGCGGGCCTCGGCTGTTTGGGTTTCTTCACCAAAAAGTCCGTCTCCATCCATGATGTGAGGTCAAGGAGCTGCCACCTGCCCCAGACCTGCCCGGAACACACGAAGCAAGTTGGCGTTTCGGAGCCCTGAGGCGGTCCCACAAGGCCAGCAGATTTCTAAAACAAACACAACAAAGATGTATTACAGGCCAACAAGACTGCCGCAAAACCCAGAGGGGCTGAGCCGGTCCCCACACCCGGCTGCCGCTCCCGGACCAGGACAAGTCACCTTTGCATTCTGACCTTGGGCAAGTCGCTGCGTTCGCCTCCGCCTCAGTTTCCCCGCCCAGACCAGGGCAATTGTGGGCAGCCCGATTGTTCCTGCCTTACTTTCGCCAAATGCTTCACTCCTGGGAATTCCCTTCACCTCCCACGGAGCCCGGCAAGGCGGGCAGCCCCACCCACGGGGGGGGGGGGGCAAGTCGGGAAGGGGCTCCGAGGTAAGGCCGCGCTCCCGGTTCCACCCCGGCCCCCGCCCCCTACGTGGGAGCTCGGCGCGCGCCGCGTCCCAGGTGGCCCCGCTATTGTTTCACCTTCCCGGGTGTTTATTTTTCGCTGAGTAGAAAGAAAAGAGACGGAGGGAGAAGGGCGCCGAGGCTCCGCTTTCTGCTGCCAGGACGCGCTCGCTGTGCGCCCGACCAGCCAGGGGAGGGTCTGGGGCCGACCCCCGGCGCAGCCGGCGCCCGGCACGCCGCCGCCCCTCCCCGCGCCCTCCTGGGGCTCCGCTCCCTTCGCTGCCACCCCTTCCTGCCCCTCCCCGCGTCGCCCGCGCTTCCCGAGACCCTCACCTCACCACAGCCCTCTCTCTCTGCGTCCGTCAGTCAGCCGGTCGGTGGGCCGGGGCGCACGCCTCTGGGGACGCACCGCCTCCTCCCTCTCCTCCGGCTACGGCACCAGCCGCCGCGCTCAGCCCCTCCCAAGTCCCCGCCCCCTTCAGCCCCGCGCTGCACCCGGGCGGGCTGAGCGCGGGGCGCTAGCAGCGGCCGGAGCTAGAGGCACCGCCCCCGGGCCCGCCCCTTCCCGCAGACCCGGAGACGCGCGGTGGGGCTGGGGCCCGGGCGGTCCCTGGCTGATGGGGACCTGGAGGGGCACGCCAGTGCCGCACCTGCCGGTGGGGAGGGCCACCCGAGGACCTGGACACATCTGGCGTGCGGGCCAGCAGCCCCGAAAGTTAACCAGAGGTTCACACGCAGCCTCTCGGGTTGCCGGCTAGATACACAGGCCCTTCCCGAAGCCCAGAAGACCCAGGGCCTGGAGGAGGGCAGCACAGGAGTGTGTCTTCTCTCCGCAACACAAAAACAAAGCCCTTGCAGAAGACTTGCATCTGTTCGTAATGGAACCCCATATAGCGCACTCTAGGACCACATTTCCTAGAAGTTGAGCCTGATTGGACCCTACAATAGCCCTGGGTTCTCACCCTGGTTCCTCCACTTCAAGACAAACCTTGGTCGAGATACTCTCTGTGCCTTAGTTTCCCCATCTCTTTATATAAAGATGTCCTTTATACACGTGTAAAATAGAATGCTGCCTGCCACATCTTAGGCACTCAGCAAATGTAAGCTATAATTATTTTATGAGGAAGTCCTATCCAAGCAAGTGCATTTTCATTAATTCAGTGCTTATCCAACACACACAAGTGCTGGGTAGGCACCGTCACAAGGTGACCAAGATAGACTGGGACAGTCCTGCCCTCCTGGAGCTTGCAGTCTAGTGTGAAGACAATAAAACAGGTATGGCAAACACACACACACACACACACACACACACACACACACAGTGCTAAGGAAGCCCATGTAGGGATGTGGGCCCTGTGTCGGGGGTGAAGGTATGAGGAGGGGGGAGCTGGTCACCCAGGAAGGCTTCTCAGAGGAAATGGAAACAAAGTAGATCAAAACAGCAGGAAGCACTGGAAGAGAGAGGAGACAGTGAGGAGTCCCAGGCCTTGGAGTCAGCATCCTGGCAGACCCAGAGTGGGGAGAGAGACCAGAAATCTCTGTTGGGCCCAAACTAGGCTCTAAGAAAGTGAAAGAAATGAGCAGAGAAGAAACATGCGTCAGCAAAGTGTCACAGTTGGGAACGAAGGCCCAGTGTTGTCTGATGTTCCTACTTTTTAAGAAAAATGGGGAATCCAGATTTTCATTTAATGCTTCCTAATTGATTTTCATTGGAAGCTAGTGTTTCAAAATAAATAAAACCCCATGGGAAAACAACAACACAAAATTTGTTTGTGGTTAAGATATGGCTAGTGATTTTACCAGTATGAGGTCTCCAGACCTACTGTAGCTGTAATGAAAGGCCATAAATGACATAAAGATACAAACGGGAAAAAAAACGGGAGATAGGTTAGCCAACTTCCTTTTTTGTCAGAAGAAAGTTGAGGGCAAGGTATTTTGTATAAAGACAGCCTGATACTTGGTGCTCACAGCAAGGATATTAATTACTCTACTGCACTTTGAAATGCCAAGTAGAAAGAGCAAAGCTCTCTACCCCGCAAAACAGCCGCTCAACAATTCTCCTGAGAGCAAGCTCTCTTCTTGGTGATTACCCTCCTACACAGGCAAGGATCCCGAAGCTGAAGACTAGGAATAGCTCACACAGGATGCCATCTGTCTTTAAAAAAAAAAAAATTAAAATCTAGTTGACTGTTAATATCTTGAGATCAGGGTAGAGAGAATGTGGGTCCCTAAGGCTTTCCGCACAGGTGGGTGCTCAGAACCTGAGGTGCGCCATCTAGCGTCGGAGAAGGAGCAGGATTTGCCCCCATGGAACTCAAGACTGATTTATCCCAGAGGAGGAAATAAGACTCTGTCCTTCCTCAACAAAACCCCAGAGCTGTGCTGGCTTATTCTCCGTCTGACGAAGAACAGAGAAGAAAGCCTGTGTCCCAGATCTGCATTTGCCATCACTTAACTCTGATCAAGTGACTTCACCTCTCTCACCCTTGGTTTCTTTGTAGCAGGGGATGACAATAGCACCTGCCTTCACAGCGAGGTTATAAGGATTAAATGAGCTGATACAAAAAAGAACTTAGCAAAATACCTGTTGCTTAGTATTCAGTCCTCATTAGCTATTCTCGTCACTAATTATGAATCCCACACAGTCCAAGGAGCAGGGAACCAGGAGCCAGAAAGTCTAGCTTTCAGTCCAGGCTCTGCTGCTTCTGCTGTCTTTTGACCTCTGTAGACCCAAATTTCTTCTTTCATAAAATGAAATTGATTAGACTAGTCAGAAGGTCCCAAACTGGCTGTGCATGAATTACTCCACAAGCATTAAATGCAGATTCCCAGGCCCCATCCAAACATCAGTGTGAGACTAAACTGGATTCTTCCAGCTCAAAATTTTATGATGGCTTTTCACAAATCCATGATTCCATATCTGATTTTGATTGATAGGTCTCTCAACTGCATAGCTTGTCACCTAGATCAAAAGAGAATTCACCTTTTCATCAATATTCCATCCTTTGCACCTGAACCTTGAGTGTTTCATTGCTCTCCATTCCTCTTTTCCCAAATCTCAGCAAATCCTGGTTTTTCTCTTCAAACCCAATAGCAGCCTGAGATCTCTTTCTTCTCATGCCCAGCTCTGGCTCACAGCCTGTGTTCTTCTCTCATGAACTCCCCTCTTTGTTAGAGAACACACATGACCCGGAGCCTGTGGGGAGGCAATGATTCTGGCTCAGGCTGAATGCCATAACACTTGTCACATTGGAGTGACTTCTCTGGACTAGATTGGCTGAACCCAATCTCTCCCTCCCTCTCTCTCAATGTCCCAGGCAGCTGGGCTGGCTGCCAGAACTCGCTGTCACTTTCAACCACACTGCTGTCCAGGTGGAAGATCCTTAAGAATTTTGCTTGGCCCCCCTGGTGAAAAAACAAAAAGTGTTAGTTTGATCATAGAGCTTTTGTCCTCGCATGGGGGATCTGATGGTCTAAGATTCCAAACAACCATAAGCATATAGCAGAACAGAGCCGTCTGGATGTGAGGGGCTCTCTCTGAGACATCTGCTACCCCTCTGGTCGCCAGGGCCGTCTGGCCTGATTTGGCTGGCATGTTGCCTCTTTCTGTAAAAGACTGCGAAGACAGACATTGGCAAATCTCACCAATGTATATGAGCCCAGCTGACAGTTTCCAAAAGTTCACTTGGAAGTTAATTATTTAGATCTCAGAACACATTTTCCCATAACAGTAATATAATAAATGGTGATTATATTTCCTAGACAACACACAAGCCTATGTAACCTTTAATATGCGTAAGAGGAAGAAAGCAGTAAACCAACAATACAATTGAAACACTAGTGATTAAATAATACGGAAAAGTAATATTTAAAAGATGGTGGCGTAAGTTAAAGCGGTGCTTGCCTCCTCCCACAACCACCTCAAAATTACAACTAAACTACAGAACAACCAGCATTCAGACCTGCCTGAAATTGAGCTGAATGGAAGTCCTACAACTATGACATCAAAAAAGAAGCCACATCCAGACTGGTAGGAGGGACGGAGGCGCATGGGCTGGTCCCACACCCACGTGTGGTGGATAAAAATCAGGAGGACACTTTGGCTGGGAAGGTCTTCCCTGAGGACTGAGGGGTCCCCGTCCCACACCAGGAGCCCCGCTCAGGGTTCCAGTGCCAGGAAGAGAAGTCCCCACAACTTTTGGCTGAAAAACCAACAGGAACTGAGGCTGAGGGAGGCTGAGGCTGCTGGAGCCCCAGGCAGTTCCTCTTAAAGGGACTCACTCTTTCTGGGCTCCAGCATGGGGGAAGCAGTTTGAAAGGCACCAGAAACATAGGGGGAAGAACTGAGCTGTTTGGCACCTGCATGAGGGCTAGAGAGTCAACTTTCTCCTGGACAGACTGCTCCCAGAGGCCGTTGTTCCTTTGTTGAGCCCTTCCCTGGGGCGGCAGACAGCCGCCATATCTGGGACTCCAGCAACCTGGCTCACACTGGTTGCCCCGCCCTGCTGACTCCCTGAGGCCCCACCCCACCCAGCTTTCAGACCCACCCAAGCTGTTTCCAATGGCTTTACCATAGGATTGGCCTGTCTTGGATCCTGCTTCAGATCCTAAAATCTCTCAAACAAACAGCATCTGATCTCAGTGAGCACCATAAGTCTTGTTAAGTGGCCCCAGGCCTGGCACAACAAGCAACCAGCCTTGGTTCACAACTTGGCTTTTCCTGGGCACCTCCAAGCCCAGCACAAGAAGCAGCCATGGGCAGATCACTTTTTAGCTTATGCCTGGTGGCCCCAGATAGAACACAGGCAGTGGTTGACCTTGCCCCAGAGCCAGCACACCCAGTGGACAGCTTCAGTACACATCGAAGCACCACCACCCAACCACCTCCACGAATGACACACTCAAGGAGGGGACTCAGTGGGTCCACTTACCTGCTGAAGTAAGTCTTGCTCTCTGTGTTAGGCCCCTACACAGCTGATCATCCAAGGGAGTCAGAGGCCAATGGTCAGTGGGCACAGCCAGTTCTTGCAGTTGATCAGCCTGAGTAAATTCCTCCCACTGATGTGCCAACAGCAATCAACACTCAGTTACAACAGAATGGTGTACAGTCCACACCAGGGGTGCACCTCGATGGCCCAGATGGGGCGACCAGAAAGGCTGTGCCACTAGACCCTATAGGACACCTACTACAATAGGACACACCATCATCAAAATGCCAAAGATGAAAGACAAAGAGAATCTTTAAAAAGCAGCAAGAGAAAAGCAGTCCATTACCTACAGAGGAGCTCCTATAAGACTGTCAGCTCATTTCTCAAAAGAAACTTTGCAGGCCAGAAGGGAGTGGCAAGAGATATTCAAGGTGATGAAAAACAATAACCTACAACCAAGATTACTCTATCCTGCAAAGCTATCATTT